GGGGCAGTTAGGAGTGACCAGGCCAGCAGGGAGGGGGCAGTTGGGGGCGACCAGACCAGCAGGGAGGGCAGTTAGGGGCGATCAGGCCAGCAGAGGGGGCAGTTAGGGGCGACCAGGCAGGCAGGAAGGTGAGCGATTAGGAGCCAGCGGTCCAGGATTATGAGAGGGATGTCCGACTTCTGGTTTAGGCCCGATCCCCGAAATTGGGCCTAAACCAGAAGTCGGACATCCCCCAAGGGGTCCTGGATTGGACAGGGTGCAGGTTGGGCTGAGGGGACCCTTCCCCCATTCACGAATTTTGTGCACTGGGCCTCTAGTCTATATATATACTAAAAGCCTAAGTGACCATTATGACCAGTCAACTGAATGACCGGTTGCTATGACGCACACTGACCACCAGGGGGTAGACACTCAATGAAGAAGCTGCCCCCTGGTGGTCAGTGCACTCCACAGCCAACCTACCTCCCACGGTCCCTTCCCCCAGACAGCCAGCCAGCCTCAATCAGCCCCGATTGGGACTGGGTGAGACAGCCCTGATGCCTGCCAGGCCGAGGGACCCCACCCATGCATGAATTCATGCACTGGGCCTCTAGTATATACATAGAAAGGAAATGTAATAAGTAACTTGCTTTGAATACTTGCTTTGGGATAGCTAGAATAAAAAAGTATTTCTTCTGATGCTAAAATAAATCTTATGATTAAAAAAGAATAAGTCAACATTTTAAAAGTGCGTACCAATATTTTTTTTTTACTAAAATAAGAAAAGATCATGTCTAAAATGTAGGGAAGAAAATACCTAAACACCTCATTGGTTACTTTAAAAGGCATTTTTAGTATTTGAGAAAAGAAAGATAGTTTATAATGAAAGCCATAAGCATTTAAACTATATGCAAACATTAGAGTGAAAAAAAACACAACAGATTCTTCTAAGCAGTTTAAATAACACTTATTCCTTAAAATTGTTCGAAGACTTTCAAATTGAGGGTTGGTAGAACCCTGGGAGTCCCCAGTATCCTTTCAGAGGACACATAAGCTCAAAGCTATTTTCATAATATTGCTACGATGCTATCTGTGTTTCCACCGTGTTGACATTTGCACTGAAGATTCCAATGCAAAGGTGGGTAAAACTGCTGGCTCCTCAGCATCCATTGGTTAGGGTGGTGAGAACAAACTATCCTGGTAACCACTAAATTCTTCACTGCCATACACAAGCAGTTAAAAACTGGCCAGTTTCACTTAAGGACATGCTTGATAAAAAGTAGAAGCTTTTATTTAAATCTTGACTCAAGTGCAAATCTTTTAAATACTTGGTGTGATAAAAGTAAAGTTTTGCTAAAATGCTAAGGCTGCCAGTGAAGGTGCAGGACTGTTGCAAGCTGAACTAGCTGCTTTTTTCGTGGATACCATTTTTACCTGAAAAAAACAACAACAACAAAAACCCGCTACCAACTATGGTGATTCAGATTTGGATATTTGGTAGAACATAAATGAAGTGAACCTGTCACTTCAAGGGAAAGACTGACAGAACTTGTAGCCAATGATAAAATGTTAACTAAAAGCAAAAATTAGAACTGTAGAAAATTTGTATCTGCCATTATGACAGCTTCCCAATACCTAAGTTTTCTGATAAAATCAGTGATGCTATCAACAAAGGTTTATGTGTGCGTGTGTGTAATGAGATGTGTCAACATTTGAAAAATCAGCATACTTCAGTGAAACAATACTTTCCAAAGTTACACATGAGTAAAAGATCCATTCTTAGTGCAAGACAGACCAATAGCTTTTCATATAACAGAGCATGGAGAGTTACTGACAAGGTTTCAGATTCCACACTGCAACTGACTTAAGAAATTATGCCTTGTTGATTTCTAGAAGAGTGCCAAAGAAGAACAGCCACAATTATCTGAAAAGGCTATTATACTATTTGTCCCTTTTCTGACTACATATCTGTGAAAGGCTGCATATTCATCATATACTTCCACCAAAAGAATGTAACAGAATGCAGAAGCAGATATGAGAATCCAGTTGTCTTCTATTAAGCCACACATCAAAGAGACTTGCAAAAATGTAAAATAATGCCACGCTCGTCACTGAATTTTATTGAAACTGAAATTTTGTTTGTTTCATTGAAAATGTGTTATTATGTTAACATGTACTGGGCTTGTTATTTTTATTTAAAAATAAATTAATAACATTATTTTTTAAATTTCTCAGTTTTAATTTCTAATTTTTTAAATATTAATAGATAAAACCCACAGGAACAAAAAGCTCTTTGGTATCCTTAATAATTTTCAGGAGTGTAAAGGTATCGTAGATCGAAATGTTTCAGAACCTATGGCTGAAATTATTACTATTAATAAACTCTGTCTCAAGGTAAATTTTAAGGTAAATCTGAATTAAGTCTCAACTAGAGTTTCCCCATTAACGAGGTTTTTTACTAGACATGCCCCAGTTTACCTAATTCTCGGTCTCTCACAAATAAGAAAATGAAAAAAGCTATTATCTTCTTTCTTCTCTTAAGACTTGAGATCAATTTCTTAACATTTGTACTATGTTTTAAAACTACTGAGTACTTAATGAAATCTTCCATTGCTAGGTTGTACCAAACAAGTAAGCACATAGACAGCATTAGAGGGTCAGGCAGTGCTCAGCAATCCCAGGTATAGTAGTCCAAGATTGAGGTAGTAGTTCTCAGGTCTTGCTAATCCATACCAGCACACGTGATACACATGTTCTATATCAACCTATCTAAATCTGATTGTGAGGAATCTACATTTTGATCATTAGGAGAGAGAGGAGATCAAGCAAAAAAAAAAAAAATCTACTCTGTTTCCTCACTGTTATTTTCTCAAACTGGGAAACTTACCTCTTTATCAGCCTTTATAAGGTAGTGGAGGAGCAGAAATAGAGGGTCCATGGGTGTGACAAAATGGAGAAGACCTCCTATAGATTAAAAGGAGAACAAAGGAAATTAATGTCTGAAAAGACAATTTAGTCATTTCACCTTTATCCTAAAGTGGAAAGGATTTATTGAAAACTATATGTGAAATTCTAAATATAGAAGCTCTTCTTACACAGGCCCAAGATTCTATGTGTCTCTCAAAAGGCAGAACGTGGTCCATAAAATTTTACTCTAAAGACCTTCAAATTTCTGTGTGTAGATGAGACCCAAGACATTGAAATCAATCTTTAACTTTCCATTTCTCTTTCAAAATAACTTTTAACAGAGGTCCTCTCCACTGCCCCCAAAAAGCAAGGGTTGGGGGAAATATGAATAGAATATGAACCATGCAAACATAGGAAACCTATACAAGTCTATCTGTAAAGCTGCAGTAAACTGTAATTTCCTGTGCTTCTGAGGATAAAGCCATGGGAAAGCAATATTCTCTCTATACAGAGTTTCTTCTCTGGTCTGTGGGCTCACTGCTCTGCATTGCTAATGACTCAGAGCTCAGAAGGTTGTAACACACCCCAAACACTACCCCATCCCTTTACTCCCCCCCCCCCAAAAAAAAAAGAAAAGAGGGGGG